CAACATGCTCTGAATATGTATGATTCACCTTGCCCTCACACAGTTTTAGAAGTTAAACTCTACATGAAAATGTTATCAAACTTTTTATCATTTCATTTTTCTATATCAGGTGCATTCCTCGGTAATTTGAGAAAACATGAGTTTTCAAGTGGCAATTTTTTTGTCGTCATTAACTTCTCAAGAACAAAGCTGACCAATCACAGCACTTAGATTCTGCTTTGAAACTGTACAGTACATGGTATCTTGTGAACACTCAAAATGAAATAAAATGAAAATTTTCTAGGACTACATAACTGATCATGCATTGGGCAGATGAGGCAATACAAATTTATCTCAAGTAATTCCATTTATGCCTATCAGGTTATTCCAATTGCTTGAACATGCTATTCCTATAAAATGCTTTAGTACTCATAAAAGTTATGACTTAATTTCTCCATTTTTCAAGGCATTTCTCAGGAGGCAACATGTACTGTGACAGGCCGAAAAGGTGCAATTTTAATGCAAACATGTTTACTAATGTATTTTGCTTTATATGATGGTTGTAATTCTGAAAGTTTCAGACTTTTTAAGCTTTTTATAAAAAAAATATGAACTTGAATTAAAGTTGCTTACAATTTTAAAATATTCTAATGCATTTTATTATAATTTTACTTTATACATTTGAATGAGATAAATCCTCAATTTATTAACTTTATCTTAGTGGTTTGAGATTCAGCAGTTTTGTATTAGGAAAAAAATGAATACCTACACCTTACAATATTCTGAGAATTAAATAAAAATGCACTCTGCATATGGCAGAAGATAAAAAATATCAGTTTTATAATATCATCAAATGCTGGGAAATCATCTGTAAAACTACTTTTTCTAATAATAGAAAAAATCCTTATCTACTTTTGTATTGAAAATCTTGCAAAATTTAATTTTAAAAGTTCAACATTTGAAATATAATAATTAAGTCTTAATAGAAATAAAGTGTATGCTCTGGAGAAGGAAATATAATAACAAAACTATAACATTTACTTTTCTCAAACATTTTTTAAAATATATTTTTATTGATTTCAGAGAGGAAGGGAGAGGGAGAGATAGAAGCATTAATGAGGAGATAGAATCATTGATCAGCTACCTCCTGCACACCCCACACTAGGGACTGAGCATGCAACCGGGCATGCGCCCGGACTAGGAACTGAACTGTGACCTCCTGGTTCATAGGCTGATGCTCAGCCACTGAGCCACGCTGGCTGGGCTCTCAAACACTTTAAGTGATATAAAAAGAGGTGTGATGAGCTTAGTTATATTCTTCCTCTTTCATGTAGGTGACAGCATTCTTATAGTTAGCAAAAATAATTTACTCTCAGTTCAAGACTAAAATCAGTATGAACATAGAATATATATATATAATATTCCAATTTAATATTTGGAACAAATGGCATACTATAAAAATGTGGACATTTTGAAAAAATCATTATTTTGAAATTTAGGTTACAATAATTTCATTAAAGAAAAATAATAACTACCCATCTTCTTAAATATTAACAAGAAATAGTATTAATTATTGACCAAAAGCTGTAAAACTATATAAACCAATGACACCTTTTGAAAATTCTTATTTTCCTATGTCAGATCTCCTGAAACATCTAGCTAGCAAAAGACAAATTCCTAAAGACAAAGATATCATTATAACTTGAATGCTCTTTATAGTTGAAGAGGATTGTAATACTCAGCGAGTCCTTAATCAAAAGCTTACCATCTCTGTTCAAGTAGAATAACTTAAATCTAGTATATCTAAGCGGTTTTTTTTTTTTAAAATAAAATGAGGAACCTATTTACCAACAATAAATTGCCACATTTACCCTAAAACATTATTCAACATACATTATTAAAAAGTCACAATTGAAGAGAAATGTCATGTATTTTATAAAACAATTTAAATCATAATGAGTAAATCACATTTAAAAAGATTGAGGCACTGTGAGTCAGAAAAATCGATATTTCTTTGTTGCTTTATATAAAGAAGTCAATTATCTGAATCAAATAATCTTTTGATTATCAACCATTTCAACATGATTTCACTTATTTGTTGTTCTTTTATAGTGAGTTAAAGCTGATGCAAAATGGTGTTTGTTTTTGGCATTGGCTAAATGGTGTGATTTTGGGAAGAAAATAAATGTTGTTTTTCATAAAAGTTCTTTAATCATTCCACAGAGGTAAACATACTTAAATGCTAAATACCTGATCTTTTTGAATAAACGTAGACCTACCTTTATTTCCACAATAAGCCTCTATTTCCATGAGACAATGTTTTCACAAATATAAGGCAAAACAGATGTTAAATTACTTAACAGAACTCATAATTTAAATAATTAAAACTAATTTGTGTTTAAAGCTATTTGCAGATTTATTAGAGAAACAAATACAAATATGCATTTCTACAGAACTGTTTTGTTTTTTTTCCAAAATGAGCTTAAAACTTGTTCCACAGTTTTTACTTGTTTATAATATC